GCAATCAGAAAGTGTTGGTTTCTTATCAAGACAAGAATAATGGTAGCATCATCAGCGAACAATGCCAGCTTAGATGTGAGAATTTCTGAGTTTGTTAATGTAAATTAAAGTATAGGGTCAGGGTAGAACTTTGAGAAACCCCTGAAGTTACAAGAAATGAAGAAGAGTGCTGTCCATCAATATATCAATATATATATATCAATTTAGACCAAGAATAATGGCTTAAAACACACTAGCTTAGTATAATTTTTAAGTATATTTAAATAAAATGACGCTTCCGATCAAATATAGCTCACATCTGTCACAAACAAAAACAATCTTTATTTTTCAATTTATTTATTCTAAAAAATTTGAAAAGATTGAAAAAAAAATTTGTGCAATACTTAGGCTAAGAACATTTTTTTTATAAGCTGCCATTTATAACTTTTACTTTAAAATTAAAAACAAAAAGGTTTAAAAAAAAGTAAAAAAAAGTTGCCACCAAAAATCATAAGATCATTTTCAAAGACATTTTTATTTGAAGTAGAGATGTACCGGAATTCTGTTTGGGCTAGAATTCTTGCTGGAATTTGTGACTTTTAGGTCATTTTGGTTCTGGCGGGAATTACAATGTTTCAAGCCAGAATGTCAGAGTTTACTTTTTTTTTAAAGACATGTGACACAGACTGTGTAAATTAATCTATATATATATATATATATATATATATATATATATATATATATATATATATATATATATATATATATATATATATATATATATATATATATATATATATATATATATATATATATATATATATATATATATATATATATATATATATATATATATATATATATACATATATATTGTTAGTATACAAGCGAACTGCAAGTCCAAATACATCATTTTGAGGTAATGAACAAATAAGTTTTTGCGTAATAGTTAAAATAAAAAATATTGATAACTTATTGATTTATTAAATTTATGTGGTATATCAAATATTACTGCCAAAAATGGACATACAGTTCTTTTGTATACCAATGATATATATTATATATATCATTGGTATACAAGAGAATTGCATGTCCATTTTTGTGTGTATCTTTAACTATAATTGTAAATATGAATATAACTATAACTGTAAATATGAATATAACTATAAATATAAATATAACTATAACTGCATGACCATTTTTGTGTGTATCTATATATTATATAGATACAGACAAATTGTTTTTTACTATGTTTCATAAAAACACTTCTAAGTTTGACATTTTTGCTGGTGTTGCATATGCTTTAATGTATTCTTTATTATTTATAGTGTACCACAAAGAGCACCTAAATCAGATTAAGTAAGTTGTTTCCAGACTTACTCATTGATATGAACAGCACAACTACAAGACCAGATATATAGATTTTTAATCAGATACCTGCATATCTATTTGCATTCATTACTATTCATATATCTATGTCACAATCTGTACATATAATTCGTGGTGTTTTTTTTAGGTTTTTGAAGTATCCTTCAATAGGTAGGAGGATACTTAAAATAATAAAAAAAGAAAGCAAAACTCTATGAGTTAATCATGCACATCTAACTTTCTTGGCAGAAAACACTAGAGATACAGTTAATTATTTGTTTGTGACATTTGATATGTACTATTGAGTGTTTTTTTTTAATGTTATTGTTAACAGTTGAGAGTATTATTGTTTTACTGTTTTTGTTAATTTTTTTTTTGGTTAACAAATCTTAATATAGTTTATAATAACAATTCAAAGTTTTGTTATTTTTGTTTTTAAAAAATATTTAAGAAATAATTTAATAAATTTTAATTAGTAATTAACTAATCTAGAAAGATCTATAATGTTTATGTTTATGTTTAGTTCTTTAATGTTTTGAAAACATTAAAGAACTAAACATAAACATGAACTAAAATGTTATACTGATTAGCTGTTCTGTGTTGAATTTTTTTTAAAAATGGCTATTTTCATAGCCACAAGTTATTAAAAATATCTATTAGAACGTTGAGAAACATTGTAAAAAACTAAAGAACAAAGAATCAGATGAAAGCAGATTTGTTTATAGTTTTAATAAGTTTATATTCATTGATACTGTTTATAAATTTCTAAAAAAGTTTGTAAAATTCTATAAAATTTTAGTGCCTACTGTTTTTTGAATAAAGATATCTGGACTAATGTAATTTTCTGGATTAGCTAGGAATTAGTCCGGATAAACAGAAAAAAATACACTAATCTGTTATTTTATAAAAACTGGATATTTTCACTTAACTATAGAAATATAAACATAAATTTGATATCTTGTGAAAAAATCAGCTTAATATGTTAAACACTTCTTTATTTATAAGCTTATTTCCTCATTTTGCATAGGAGTGATGAATAGTGCAATGCTGAGGTGCATACATTCACTTTCAATCTTGAAGGTATAAAGTTACATAAAAATAATTCTTGTTCTGGCCAGAATTTTTTTAACAAATCTGGCAAATCGCATTTCGGCCGGAATTCAAAATTTCCAATACGGAATTCAAAATTTCCAATACAAAGTTCTCCTAAATGGAGAACTTTGTATTGGAAAAACACCCGCCCTCCTTTAAAAATGCCTCTGAGCAGAATTTGCTAGAATTATCATTTAAAAAATTGCGATGAAAGTTTTTTGGATATATATATATATATATATATATATATATATATATATATATATATATATATATATATATATATATATATATATATATATATATATAGCATCCTAGTTGGCAACTTTCGGGGACATGTTATTTTTGTTCCCGTTCTGTTGTTGTTTTTTTACTTTTTTTATACTATTTTTATCATATTTATATATTTTTTTCAATTTATATTTTATTTCTATTTTTATTTATACATATTTAAATTTATTATTTTATTATAAAAATATATTTTTTATATTAATTTTTGTTATTTTTATTTATTTTATATTATATTTCATTTTTAACTTCATCTATTCACAAAAACGATTAATTACAAAAATATAACCAAATTTAAACCTTGCCGTAACCCTAACCCTAAGCCTGACCTTGATGCCTGGCCAAACAAAAACCCTCTGTCAATGTAGCAGCACTCTCTTGCGAATCAGGCTATTTGTCAGTCGATGTATGTACTTTTTGTTCTCTATAAAAGTTTCTTACGGGTACATTTTTTTACAAAAAAATCATGCCTACAGGCACAAAAAATTAACGAGTACACTAAAATGTCCCCGATAATGCTAATGTCCCCGTAAGTGTTTGTTTTTTTGTAAAATCTGTCCCCGTAAGTGCTAAACTATACAAATATATATATATATATATATATATATATATATATATATATATATATATATATATATATATATATATATATATATATATATATGTATATATGTATATATATATATATATATATATATATATATATATATATATATATATATATATATATATATATATATATATATATATATATATATATATATATATATATATATATATATATATATATGTGTGTGTGTGTGTGTGTGTATAGTAAATTATAAAATAAATTAATATATTTAAATATAATGGGTATAATTAAAACAACTTTAACTACAAAAGAAAAACTTACCTTTTGAATTTCCAGTTTTGGCAAGTGTTTTGGAACTATTACAGGCTTTAGGGGGTTTTTTATTAACCTCTTTAGGCAGTTTTTTTAAACTTGACTTTACATCTGTTTTGGTCTTACAACTAAATGTTGAACTTATATTTTCTGCATCATTCCTAAAAAAATTTCAAACAATATTTTAAAAACCAAGTTTTCAAATAAGATAAAAATATACTTTTGGTAAAAAAGACAAAACAATACAAAATATTATCAAATAAATTCCATTACCAATGGAATACAGTACATACTTTTCAGTCTGCTCTTCATCTAAAATGTAAAAATTTAAAATAATTTTAAATAAACAAAATTATAAAAAAGTCCTATATAATTCTTAGTCAATATAAAAATCTCTGTGAAAAGAAATAAAATAAAGAAAATGATTTATGAAACAAATTTAAAAAAATTTGAATGCTAAGAGAGAGAGAGATAAATTTGATTACATAAATATATTTTTTTAATGTTTCTTTATTTTTATTTTATTTTAGACGGTCTTATACCATTGTCACGGAATGTGAAAGAACCCAAACAAAAACAACAAGATATTTACTTTATTTAAACCTTTTGGCACAAAATAAAGATTATAAACCAATAATAGCAATTCTTCATTTATATTTATTATTCTAAAGCATCTTAAAATGATAACTTAAAAATTAATAAGGATGGTGCTGATAATATTAGGTATTTTTTGATCTCTCTAACACGATCTAATGAAACTGGCAATATTGGAAACACTTGCTGCAATTTCATGTAACAAGCACTCATAACCTAGTCTCTAGGACATAGTCTCCCAAAAGTCATGAAGACATCTGTTTCTATGACTTAACTTGCCTTAAATTAATCAAAAGAGTTGCTGAATTTATTGACTAACTACTTAGAACATTATTTTTATTCAGAAAAATTTGTATAAGCTGCAACTCTGTGCTTAAAGCTCTATAGTTCTTTGTTGTTGCTGTTGTTTTTAAATTTTTTAACATGGTTTTTATTTGAAATCTTTACATTATTTTAAAATAAAACATCAACAAAAAAAATCTTTCTATTTTTTTTACATAACTTTTTACATACATTCGCATACATTCGCATTTTTTACATACATTCGCAGCACCCTTTTTAACTAGGAGGAGGGGGTGGGGTGGTGGGTGTTTTGGGACTACCATAACAACACCAAATGAGGGCATTCCAAGACAAGCATGTCCATCTTCATAGCATAATTTACTGATTGAAGGTTTTAATTTAGTAGTATGACGCTTTACTCTTTCCAAAAATGGAAATACCTTGTTTTGATAAGGAGACCATACTGGTACAGCAAACTCAATAAGTAGTTGAATAAATCAAATATTGGAGATTTTAACAGTTCTTCATCAAATCCAATAAAAGATTTCCTTATTATGCCCAACATGCAATTTGCTTTGCTTGCACTTGATAATACTTGATTTTTTAATTTCAAGTTCTTTAAAAAAATTACTCCTAGGTCTCTTTCTGAATCTGATGTACTTAGTGGTATATAATTTATATAAATAGTTTACAACTATTTATATAAATTAGGTATTGCTTATTTTTATACCCATAGTGCATAACTAAACATTTGTCATCATTAAAATTAAGCAACCAATCTTGTGTCCCTACATATGGGGAGTAAAATCGCACTGTAGTTTGTTAAGTAACTCATCCAAGATGCTAATTGACATGATTTTTTTATGCATATAATTTGGAAGTATTTTTCAGATTCTAAGGAAAATCATTTATATAAAATATAAAAAGTAGTAAACCCAATAGAGCCTTGAGGAACTCCACTGTACACCTCAACCCAAGTTGAAACATTACTATGTTAACTCTCCACCTCCTATTAGAAAAGAAAACTTGAAACCAATGAAGTGCTAAGCAACACTGTAAGCTTCAAGTTTTGAATAAGCCTTTGATATGGAACTTTATCAAATGCTTTTGCAAAATCAAGTAAAACTACATCAACAGGAACTCCTTGATCAAAATTTCATGTAATCCAGGTTATAACCCAAGGTTTCAAGTAAATTTGTTGTGCATGACCTGCTTTTTAACAAACCCATGCTGTTGATTAGCTATAATATTATTTTTATTTTATAAAGACATTTTGAGTACTAAACTTATTACAAAATTATTAAAAACTGTTCAATCATGGAAATACGATTTTCTTGGTTAAAAAGTTATAAAAATTAACAATGTAGACACATAAAAATATGGCGTAAACTTTGCACAAAGCATAAAAATAACATTTAAAGCTAAACTTTGATATCGGGGTCTGCTAGAAATTTGTCAAACGCTATTTAAAATGGAACTCATGTTGTAACTCACCATCAGGTAATTTATCATTTTGAAAAATTATATTAAAAAAAAAAAACATTTTTCTTTGAACTAAATTCAGTACATATCTGTATCAATTAAATCACAGGTGGCAATCAATATGCCCCTAAATAACTGCTTAGAGAATACTTAATGACTTTACTTTTAAAAAACGAATGATATTTACAATTATATTAAAAATATCTCTGTATATAATTAATTATAATAAATTGTATTTATTTTAGATTTTATCAGATGCATACAAATGTTCTTATGCTGCACACAATATAAAAAATTTGTTGAAAAAAGGGAAAAAATTCAAAAGAAATTTAAAAAATAAAAGGTTACCATTACTCCCTTCATCAGGTTGGACATCATAAAATTTATGAAGATCTTCTTTTTCTTCTTCTAATATTGGTTTTCCTCGTTTATCATGAGAAACTAAATTTAAAAAACATTTGGATTGTGTAAACTAAATTGTATTAAAAAAATAAACTAGGGTTTGATATAAAAAAAATTTTATATAAAATTTTTTCTTGAATAACAAAACATATATAAGTAAAATAAATTAATGAAAGCTGTCAGAGTTTTTCAAAATTTATAACTATATATACAAGGTATGAGTATATAATATAATACAAAATATAGTTTAGTATTAAACTAACTTGATATAAAAATCAGACAACACCAATGTCATACATAAAAGATATTTACACATTACACAAATACACAATTATTACAAATTTAAAATTAAAAAGATTAAAACAACATACACTTGAAAATACTACCTAATTTTTTTTTTAAGTTTTTAAGGTTTTTAAGGTTTCAAAAAAACCTAATGTTAGGATTCTCACCACCTCCCTTAGGTACTGCACTTGACTTATTTCTCTGCGCAATGGCTTTATTTGCCAAGGTTTGAACCTTGACAAACAAGGTTTCTATTCAAGGCTGTCATCAAAGCAAATATTTTTGCTTTGGTAACAGTAGCATCAGAGATTGTGACGAGTAAAGTCAAAAATAGTAGCCAAAATACATAATTTTTGTAAAATTTTCATACCTTTGTTTTTTGTTTTTTTTTTGCAGTGTTCTCTAAACAATTTTTTTTCTTTCAATTTATATTAGGGCTCGAATTAAGTGATCGATCGATTAGTGATCGAATTAAGTGATCGATCGTGATATTCCACTCGATAGCTTTTATTCAATAAAAAATAATTATATTGATCTTGAATTATGATATAAAATCTTCTTGTAAAACCATATTATTACTATTATTTTTATTATTGTTAAAAATTATGATTCAAACTTTATTATTTTTATTCATTTTATAAATCATCAGTTAAAACTAGAAAAATAAAGAATGATATTATTTTCAAAACACAACCGCTAATCACAACAGTCTACAGGAATTCAGCGGTGATCAAATATTTTAAATAAATAAAATTATTAACTAAAATGTAAAATATTTTTTATATCTTTTTATCTTTACAAAAAGAGTAAATTAACATTAAATTGACATCCAAAATCTGCCCATTAGTTACTTGTTTTAGATTTTCTTGACAAATTACTTTTTAAACAACCCCACCAATACCATTATGGGGGAATTTATCATGGCTGGTTAGGAAGTGACAGGAGCCCCGGCCCTGGCAAAATTACAAGATTTAGCAGGGGTTGATAGCGGGGGCTAGAAAAAAAATTTATAATTCTTTATATATTATAATTTTATACATACATTTACTATTTATTAAATACTGGCATATATTTATATATTTCTAAACTCTAATTTACTTTCAACAAGGATGCAAGCAACTACTATTAGGTTATGAGTTACTTTAAAATAGAGGATAGGTTAAAAAGCAAGGAAACATTTAACTGAAGACTTAAAAAGTTGTAGGTTGTATAAATAAGGAAAACATAAAGTTATATGACCATGATTAAAGAAGCAGCATAAAAGAGGAAGGCTAAAGCCTGATAATGATGATGATGATGATAATGATGATGATGATGATGATGATGATGATGATGATGATGATGATGATGATGATGATGATGATGATGGTAATGATGATTATGATGATAACATTATTTTTGAATAAAAAAATATACTTTAGAAAAAAAGTGTTAATGCAGCCCTGGTCATAAACCCATTCTTGGCTATACTTTATCAAACCCATCCCCGGCCCCAGTTAAATATTAACCCTAGTCACTTACTATGGCTGGTAGCAAAAAATAAACATTTAGCATTTAAATCAAAGTCTCTACTGTGATGACAAAAATTTATAAAGTTTTTAAATTGTACAGTACAGCCGTCAAAAAAATACTTTCCAAATGATATATCTGGTAGATATTCTTTGAAACATTCAGTTATATCAAAGATTATCTTAAATCTTTTAAACAAACTCTATGTCATGATTAAGATCTTCTGAAAGATAACAAAATTATTTTTATTTGAGAAATGTTTTTGAAAATAAATTACAATTGTAAAAACTGAACACTGATTTTTGCTCCAGTGATAACTTTGAACTTCATCCTGGACAACAAATTGATAATTTTCAGCAAAATCTCCTAAAATTAAACATTCATTTTGGTTTATAGTTTCTTTACCATTAATCAAATGTCAACGCTGTAACATAAGAAATTTTATTTATTTTTTTATTTAAACATCTTCGCTTCCAACAAGGCTGCAAGCAACCACTAATTAGTGTTGGAAGTTACTGGAAGAGAAAAGATGAAGATTGTAGAGCAAGATAACGATTGACAGAAAAAACTCATAAACATTTTTTTAACTATGTTTCTAAAATTTTATCATGTTTTTTCTGTTTTAGAAATAGTTTACTACTATTAATTCATTTTTACGTAATAAAAAAATTTAGGGAAGTGGGGAGGGGGAGGGAACTACCATTTTCTCTCTTCGTATGTCCATGAATATGAATATATCCTATACTTGTTATTAAATAACATTATACTTTAGTACAAAAATTAAGTTTTCAAAAATATGAAAAATCGTTATTTTTGTGTGCTTACTTTGATCAAATTTTAGAGAATTAGTTCTAATTTTTTTCAGTAGACCTAAGATAAATTAATGATATACAATCAAAATGTCTGCCAGCAATTTCAGGTGACAGCCTCTATTAGTTTTTTTTTTAGTTAAGAGTAGTTTTTTTGAATTCTTTAAGTAAAAATCTATTTGGATTCCAAATTAAAAAAAAAATCCTCTGAACCATTATCAAGATATTAGATGTCAAAGTTGCTTTGTTGTCTCTTCAGATAGCCACAAAAATGCTGAATCAGCATTATTTCAACAGACAATATCTCAACAACACATGCATATTTTTAGCTGAAATTTTTGCAGTGATCATTTATTTAATATGGACTGCGAATGATGTAAAAATAAAACAATTATGAGAAGTAATGGTGGCATAGTCTGAATGATTTCATATGAAATGACCCTGTAATGATTTTTGCAGTAATAAATTTATTGTTTTGTTTTTTCATTAATTTTTGCAATATGATAAATTGACAGTTTCATTAAAACATTCTTTGTTAAAACAGAATTTTTGAAGCACTTAGGAACAGTCACAGTAAAGGGGTGAGACTTAATATATAATACAAAAATTTACATTTTATAACATCTAAAGTTTGTGAGTGATGATAAGAAAATTTTATTAGCAAAGATAAAGAAAATTTTATTAGCAAGGTTAAATGGAGTTGAATTGAATTACCAAAAACACAACTTTTATAAAAAGAAACGGGAAATCTGGTTAAATCAAACATTTGGAACAGACCAATTTTTAGCATTGAAATCATCACAAACAAAAGAGAATGACCACAAAAAGATTTAGATAATAGAAGTGAAAGAAGTAAACCTTGGATAATCGCAGAAGAACATAAAAATTCAAATTTTGGATTAATTGAAAAAAAATAACTTATTGCTTTAAGAAAGCTATATAATGAGAAAGATTTTCAATGTTCAAGGTGTTAACTTATGTAATTAAAAATCAAAAAAACTATGTATGTAATCATATATTTTTTCAGTTTACATGTGACAACAATAAAATGACAACTGAAAAAGCTGCTGCAATAACAATTGACATAAATCTTAATGTATCTAGCTATAACCAAATCCAACAGGCATTTAAAATAGGATATTTATCTTAATCAATGGTTGAAAAAGCACTCAAGTACACAGGATAATTATTTGGAAATCAGTGATTTAAAAGTAAAATTGGAGTTATAACCAAATAAGAATCATACTACTGAAAAAATTGTTAAATTGAAGGAAAAAAGAAATGATGGACTACCTGAATATCAGTAACAAAACATGTGAAAATATGTTGTTATCAAATTATTGGGGTATGGATGGATCTACTAAACAAGTTTTGTACACAGCCAGACCGTTTTTAAGCAACTAAATTTGTAAAATAGAATAAAGGCACCAACTCTTTTTCTTTCGATCAAATAGAAGAAAACATGATGCTCTTATTCAATTTTATAAATGTTTTACCATTTTAATCACTTCTTTGTGTCATGTTACTGTCTGGACCTGCTACTAATGTATGTAGGAATCAATTAAAACAAGGCATCAAACAGATAAAATGCTGAATACATAAACTGCTGGATATTGCTACTAATGCAGATAAGGATTTAATTTAAACAGATAATGCATCAAACAGAAATATAACAGAATCCAACTACTGAGATAAAAAACAAGACTTACAAGTAATCTGAGATTAGTGGACCTTAACATTAAAGTTCTTGAGACCTTTAAGTTTTTTCATACCTTAGACTTCAAGACACAGCCTTGTTATGATTTTAAAAGATTTAACTTACATTTTTAGGCTCATATTGCTTTATTTTTGTTATTAGTAAATGAATTACTCTTTGATATGCAAATAACAAAGTGTGCTTTTAAAACTAATAAGCTTGATATCTAACATGATTTGTTAGAAATAGCTGACATGCTATTAGAGTTAAATGAGATATAAAATATGTCAAGCTTAGAATATTACTATATACAACACATTCAAATTATTAAACTATATAAGATATGCTGAATTAAATATATTATTATATGTAATACATCCAAATTATATAAATTTATATATATATATATATATATATATATATATATATATATATATATATATATATTAAATTTAATATCCTATTGTATACAATATATTCAAATTATAAAATGATGCTGATGCTGATGCTGACGATGCTGCTGCTGCTGACGATGATGATGATGATGATGATGATGATGATGATGATAATGATGATGATGATGATGATGATGATGATGATGATGATGATGATGATGATGATGATGATGATGATGATGATGATGATGATGATGATGATGATGATGGCGAGGAGGAGGATGTATATTTTAAATGAAATATAAAAAAAAAACTTTGAAAAAAGTATTTTATTTTTTATTAACTAACATTTAGTGTGAAATCTGTCATCTGAGAACATCTTTTCAAATCTTGGATCAATTTTTATTTTCTTGTTCTTTTTTGATATCCTCTATAACAAATAAATATATGAGTTATAAATATATAAACCCAGATGCCTGGCTTTTGGTAGAGATTTTCACAAACAGTAATAGATCAAAGATGAATTTTAAATTTAAATATAGTTTAAAGTTAATAATATAATTGAAACTTCACCTGAAATCTAGGATCATTTTTAACTTTTTCAAATCTTTTGTCAACCTCCATTGTAAGCAAAAATGTTATTTATTTGACTTTTAAAAGTAATAATTTGCAATTAGAAAACAATATAAACACTTATAATATGTTATTCAAAAGTAATGGTTTTTTTATTAGACTTATCAATAATTGTATTTAGTACTATTACTGTTTAATATAGTTACTAATTGAAACTTTATTACAATCATCTGAAATATATATATATAATATCATTATAAACATTTAAAGTTGTTTTAAAATTTAAATTTTTTGCAATTTTACAGTGCAAAATGCAATAACAAATAATAATTGTTTTATACTAAAATATAGTATTTAATGTAATTTAAGTATATTTTTAATAAGGAATAAAACAACTAATCCATATGGATAAACCTATGATTTCTTTTTTTGCGTTACATTTAAGGCCTTCGTCTTCTTAATCATTTTTAATCATATTTAATATTCCATATTTTATCTATATTTATTTTATTATTGCACGTGGTTATACGCGGTGCTTGTAAGTAGTAAAATGAATTTTATTTTAGTCGTTCAATCAGTTTTTAATTCGGTTTCAAAGTTAGGTTTCGAATTATAGTCGTTCAATCAGTTTTTAATTCGGTTTCAAAGTTCAGTTTCGAATTAGGATCAAACTCTGTTGGTGATTTTTTAGGAAAAATAAGTTTGGTTTTAACGTCTTGTTTACAATATAAGTAGATTTTTAAAAATTTCCGTGTCACTGTTGGGTCTACAAGGAAAAAACTCAAACCTACTAATTGATCTCCAAATAAAAAAACTACCAAAAAGTGAAAACAACTTGTAAATGTTTTATTCATACTGTCTTTCATACTTTTGACTATTTATGAGGTTTTTATATTCTACCAATTTTATTTTCGACCATATTTTTGTTTCGACAACGGATACTAATAGCTATTCTTTCGACATGCACAAGTGGTAATGTGAATACGCGCGGATCAATTTTTGGGCTTATCGGAAATAAATTCCATGAAATTCCAATAAATTCAAAAAGTTAAGGAGGTAGCTTGAAATTTTTTTATATTTCGTCAACACTGCAGTATAAAAACATTGTCTACACGTAGACATTGACAATATTTTTATTTTAGTCTGGGATTAGTTTATGAAAAATAATGTTAAAAAAATGTAAGCTAATGAGTTTTAACCAACCTAAATTTGCTGCATACCTTTACTTTATTGATGACCACAAATCATACGGCAAATCTTAACAAAATTCAACTTAAACTAACCACATCAAAAAAGTCCTCGACACTCTAATTTCCAATGATCTAAAGCCACCATGTTAAAATATTTAGTTTCCAATAATCTATAGGCATCATGCCTCAGCATTTTGTTTGCCTCAGCTGTCTCTAAGGTTAGCAAAATGCTTGCTAACTTAAAGCACAGCTTTATAAGCAGAAATGTAAAACTCCAGAAAAAGCTAAATACAGTTTATATACGTCCACTTTTAGAACTTACTTATAATAAAACGAGATGTGCAAAACTCGGTATCAGAGTTGTTAGTCCTTGGTTTTGGTCTTGGCCTCGGCCTTCCCTTATGGCCAAAAATTATGGCCTCGGACTTGGTCGTGGTCTTAATACTGTTGGCATTGGCTATGGTCTTGGCCTTGAAAATTTTTAGCCTCGACCTTGATTGGTTTGACCTTGGCCTTCCACCTTTTCTTAAAGAATTCAGAACTTTCTTTAAAATTTTTCTCAGTTACGGGCATAGTATGGCTACCACATGAAATGCCTTACCAGACAATGTCGTAAATGCTAGTTCAATCAACAAGTATAAGGTAAATTTAGGTTGGCATAATAAAATAGATACCATAACGCATCATTTTTCGTTATTGCTTCCTTTGCTATGGTAAACTAAGCATTTTGCTCAAATATTTAGGGTAATGAACATACCCTAAATATTTGAAGGTGAAATAATGATTATTTATTTAATTAATATTCAAAATAAATGAAATTTGGAAAATCAATTTTAAAATTCATTTTATAAACAACTTAGAACCACTTCTTTTTTTCATTTCCATTTTGGGTCATACAATACAAACATTTCTTAAGCATAAAAGTATTTGCTAAATTTTAAAATACTATTTAGATTTTTTCCATAACAGCAACAGGTAAGTTTACCCTTTTATTTTTGACAAGTTGCTTTATTAGCTCCCTTTAACATTAGCCATTTTCAACCTTGGTAAAAAGTATATGATGATATTTCTCAGAATTATTATTAGTAGCTATTACGGATTTTCTCATTTCCAAATGTCTTTTTGAATTTTATTGAATAGCCATTTCTACATAGTTTTGCAAAATATCAATTACGTTATTAGTTAGACGACCTCTACCAGATTAAACTTTTCCATCAGAGTGTTTTACCCGTCTTAATTCTTTTCTTTTAAGAAATAATTGATTTATTCTACGCTTATGGTAATCGCCATTACTTTGTAGTTTTATTGGAAGAAACCCATCACAATAAGGTTTGCTTTTAACAAGTGTGCTAAATGAGGTAGCTCTTTATATTCAAGATGTTTTAAGTAGTGAAATTAAATTTATACTGTTCCTATTTAAGTGTCTCTTTTTTTCCTATCCAAAACTTGGATAAATTAACAGTATCCAATACCTTGTTGTTGTCATGAGAAATAGCTACAACTACACCATTTAAATAGATATTGATGTTTTTTTTTAGTGATTAGCATTGCTCCTCGTCCTTTGCCAATCTCCCTTAATGCCATAACATTATGCATATTATATTCTTTACTACTTATTCCAGATTTTTTTTGATTGATATCATAAAAAGAAAAACTATCAAATCCACAACCAATCCAACAAACCTGAAATTAAGAAAAAGAAAACCACACACTTCCCTCCCCCCCCCCCCCTCTCACAGTATTTTTAGTAGTATTTGTATCCTAACTAATCATTCTTTGTACCACATAGATTACAAATGCCACATAGATTACAAATACCACATACATTACAAATACCACATATATTACAAATACCACATACATTACAAATACCACATACATTACAAGCACCACATACATTACAAATACCACATACTTTACAAACACCGCATGAACATCATCATCATTAAATACTGTTTTTTTCAAAACCATTTTTTTAAAAAATATTTTTTTTTATTCTTAAAACTAATCCCTGCTTGTAAAACAATGGTTTTTGCTTTGTTAATTTTACATCACTAAAAAGCTCTAAAGGTGTTGGTATGGAAACTATATACTTTAGCAAAACGGGAAGACTGTTGGAGACAGGTACAGTAAAAGGCAATTACAAATGATTTATTCATAAAGTGTAAATCTATCAAAACAAGTAAACGGAGCATTAGGTTCCTTCGGTGTAAGACAAGTAATATTCCAGCCGGCACAACTCAGAAAAAAGTTACGCTTGGTTTCTGTTTCTTTTAAAACAAAAGGAATGGTTCCTTTTTAAAACAAAGAAAGGTTCCTTTTAAAACAAAAGGAATAACACGTGTCAAAAATGATTTTCATTCCTTGAAATTAACTTTGACTTTTACGATAAATACCAATTAAAATATTAATGGTTTCACCGTTACGAAAACGTTGTATTATATTATCATAACTTTCAGCGAAGAATGTAAAACCACTGATAAAACCTTGCAATATTTATATTTGATTTTAAAACATCAAAAAACACGTGCAATACTCGAGTAAAGCTACCTGTAATACACACTTGTTTTTGGTTTACGTAAGGATCGTGACAAACATGTGTCTTTACAGGTTATAAATGCGAAACAGAAACTAGATGTGCCGGTTTGGATTGAGCCAAATAAAGTTTAGTAAAATAGTTTTCTACCTGACTTTGAGTCTCTAAACAAAACTGAAAATCTATGGTGTAAAAGTAATGATATGAAATATTTTTTATTTAATTTTACAAAAACTATAAATTATATAGGATTAATGCTAACGATAAAGCATATACATCGATTTAAGTTTAAAATGTAGATTCAACACCATTTAATGAAACAATATTTTTTTAAATATCAAAATAACTTAAACCAAATGCATAACTCATTTTAATGTATTGGATATTGTCACAAAATCCAGAAACCTTTTTTTGAGGAGGAATAAATAAAAACTATAATTATAATATTATGGTTTTAGATAGATTTAGATATAATAACTTTTCAGGGGCGCAACCAGCAATTTTAAAAACAATTTTTAAGGACATTTTGACCACTTTTTACCCACTTGGGGCACCTGAAGAGCTTAATTTTTTTTTGAGGAATTAAATGATTTTAAACCAAAAAGAAACCTTTTATGGATATTTCATACACAAATTTTGATATATTATTTTTCTCCAAATATTTTAATACAATCTGATGCCTATTCAGTGTTAATGCTTATTCATTGCTAAAGTTAATTTAAAATAAGCTGCAAAGTTCAAGTTTTCATACTTTAATTCATCTGTGTTAGTTGTTGGAGAAGGCTTAAAGAAAAAAAAGTAGTGTCCTCCAAAGTGGATGCGGATACCCTAGAAGTCCTCCAACAATATGGATGCGTGATGAAAGATTTTAAAAACTAAAGCATAACTTAATTTCTTTAAATATAAAATGACCACCTGTGATGTAGCTCTTGAGACATAAGTCTTGGTCTCGAGACGGTATGAGACTTATATTTAATTGCCTTGGTCTTGGTCTTGAAGATTGGAATCTTGGTCTTGAAAGCGTGGAATATTATCTGTAAAGCCAGAAGTCTTGGACTTTTACTGTCTTGTACTTTCTCGATCTTTACAAAAAATATCAACACAATGAATGGCTTAGTAAGTATTATTAAATTGTTACTAATAAGGTTAACGTGTTATATAAGATATGAAGTCAAGTGGTACATAGTTGTCTGTTTTACTTCTCACATAAAGTACTTAAACAAAATATACAAACTTTACTTTAAATTTTTCTTTTTTTGTGTAACTATACTATTGGCTAAAAAAACAACCTACATCCCTTCCAGAAATATATATTTATCTGCCAGTGACGCCTCTGATCTTTGCTATATGTGTGCTACTCATATTTCCACAACACGACGATCTTGCGTATTTTGTTAAAGGTTTTTTTAGTTTTCAACAATACAAGAAACCTGTTAGTTTTCTGTTATTATTGTAACTATCTATTGTAGACTGCAGCGGTGCAAAATTCGCAACAACATAATTATATTATACAAGTGTAATTAGGTTTTATTATAGAGTAATCAGTACCACCGCCAGGATTTAATTCAGGGGGGTGCATAAATAGATTTTCTTTTCTACCTCCCCCCCCCATCCCCCACGCAACAAAAACATTTTTTGTATATATATATGTTTTTAACAGTTCTGGAAGACATTAACAGTCTGTATGGTGATACTCTTCCAAACTTTATATCTGACGCTACCACATAGTATGAGAAGTGGAAAAATAAAATCATTGCAAACAAAATTACCAATTGCATAAGTTTAATTGAAGAGTCTACGAAGTTTTATCCTGCTGTATCCAAGGCACTCAAGATTGGCATGACACTTCCTGCAACAACCTGCAGTATTGAAAGATCTTTTAGCGCATTACGGTGCGTCAAAGTTTGGAACCGATAAACAATGAGTGACGATAGACTAAATGGATTATGTAAGCTTAGTGTACACAAAAAAGAATAAATAATTGTCCACATTTTATTGACAAAGTTGTAGACAAGTTTGGGCAATAAAAAGGCTTGAGTTGCTCTTTTGGAAACAAAGTGAATGACTGTTTATGTATACTTGTAAGTTGTAAAATGTAAATGTCTAGTTGTAATTTAAAAATTTAAAATAAAAACTATTTTTTCGCGTTTTTTCTTATTATTGAAAGATTTTTTTTTTTCTCCATTTCCTTTTTTTTTTCAAAAGCTAGGGGATTGCACGTGCACCTACTTGCACCCCCTGCCGACGCCTATGAGAGTAATGTTTATAAATGGTAAAATTATAAACTAGAAATTTTGCCACAGTTTAATAACATTTTTTGGTGTACTCAACATTTGGAGGAAAACTGGGGAAATATTTCAGAGAAGAGTTTAAACGTTTTAAAATGCTGTATACTAAAAGTAAATACTAAAATTTAGTCTTCAAACTTTGTCACTTTTTTTCATAATTAAATGTTTGCTTTACAAGTTTTAAATTTAATATTACAACAACTATTAAAAGAAAAAGAAAAAAGAATATTTTGCTCATCAAAAAGTTTTTTTAATGCTTCATACTTTCTTCAAATAAAGACAAACTTTCAAAAGAGAATACACTTTGCGTTTGCTACGGCAATGCAACGCTTAGGCCTTAGAGTTAACGCGATGTGGGAAATGCTCCTAAACTATTTTAGTCAATAAAATACTTTTTTAACCAGCTAAAATAGTAAAGAACAACAAATGCGTAAAAAAATCTTATATAATGGAATATTCTCAAACAATATCATTAAATGGATCTGTGGAATATGTTGTTAAATATTTAAGTAAGGGTTTATTTTGTAAGACTAATTATTTATATATATATTTCAGGTTTCGTTATTATATAGTACGCTAAATATTTACAATAAAAAGAACATAAAATGTATACATATTTCGCAGAGTACGTCATTTTTACTACCAATAAGTTTTTAACACCCAATAAGTTCAATCAAAAAGTTAGGAAAGTAAAAACTATTCACAAATTAAAATAAACGTATTTACTAATAAAATAGTTGATAAAATATTTATATTATTAAACACCCTTAAGTGCATTAGTACGATTTTTTGGTTTAAATTAAAAAGGTTTAACAGAAATTTTGTTAAAAATCTTCTCAGAATTGAAATTGTGTTTTCCTTTTAAATAGCATGATTTTATTATGTTTAAAAAAATAAGCTTGCAGTTTAAGTTTTTTGAAATTATTATCAGGGATGACTGTAAGTTATCCCTGACAATAACATTATATTTAATTTATTTATATTTTTACATAATTTATATAATTTTGTTATAAAAAGATTACAAATATATTTATATTCATAATCTTTTTTCTTTGGAAAGAGAGGGGGAAAAGAGATTATGAGTATCTAAGCTTAAAGTAAATACCTCTTTGAAGAATAAAACGCTAATTGTTGGCATTAATTTTAATGAAAAACAGAGTTTTTTCAAAATTTCTTTCGAGGGCAAATTAAGGTGATGTTCAACTTATGATTCAAATGAATTTTTTGAAACAAATCTTTTCATAAAATCAAATCAATATATTTTCACTTTAATATTAATTGTATATATATACAATCATGCGGGACATTTACAAACAATTATAAACTGATAAAAATAATGTAAACAACAGCTTAAAAATAAAATGCAAGTATACTAAGGATTTATATGTAATGATATAAATAAGCAAAGCAAAATTATTTAAACAGTTAAATCTGTTGGGTATGCTCTAATAAGAAAATAGCCAATGCTCTAAGACATATATTTGTAATTATTTTCTTGTGACTATCTACAAAGGTAATTTAATGCTGAATTAGCCAAAAATAGAAGAAGTTGTTGTTTTTAAAACTAATTTTTTTTTATAGAGTTTAAATAATCTAATTAAATAAACAATATAATGAATCAATACAATAAATTTTAATTGAATCTAATTTAATTGCTAATAATTAACAAAATGAAGTTATTTTTTATCAATGTAACATGTAGTACTTGGATTTTTATTTTATCATTAAATATTTTTTTTATCAGCAATTTTCAGTATTAAAATTGAGTAAATTTTAAATTTTATTAAAAGTTATTCATTAAATAAATTGTTTCTTGCACAATTTTGTAAATAAAATTTTTGCATTTGAGGACATACTTTTGGTCTATAGGATTTGATTTGTTTTCAACTTTCTTTTTATGGTAAATGAAGTTTGATTGCTACCATCAAGGGTCGGAACTTATTTAAAGAGTCTTCATATTATATAGCCAATTTTTTATAAATACTAGTTCTGAGTTAATAAACCATGGATGAACTAAGGACCAAGAAGTCAGTCTTGAAACTTTGAGAGTTGAAAAGATGTTTATGTAGACTACAATTAGTATAAGTACATAATATAGATCTTTTAGCATGAAAAGTATCAAGCAAAACTGTTAACCATGGTGATTAAAATCAGCTTCTAAAAAATTCAGTTGTAATTTTTAAGTTTTTTTCTATTTGCAGCCAGGTTGTTAAGAGTTGTTCTACTAGTTGTAATTCTTGACCACTGATCCAGAAGAAATTAATGAGGATACACAGGATCTATCTAAATGATCATAGCTATGCATACTGAAAATCTAAAAAAGGTCAGCTAAATGATTATTTACTGTCTAAATTGTTGTATTTTTTACAATTTAGACAAAATAAATTGTGCGTATTCATCTACAACCATTAGCTTGTATTTTTCAAGAGCTGAAAAAGGTAATGGCCTTTTCAAATTAATAGATGTAAGTTCAAACAACTGTCTTGCTTTAATTAGGTAAATTTTTAAAAATATAATTTAAGTGATAGTACTTAGGATTTAGATCTTTATCTATTCTTCATTTCTTTACACATTCTATAATATTGGCATATTTGCTTTTTCTACTAAGGTTTCTTAATCAAATAAAATGAGGGAAAGAAAAAAATAATGGCTAAGTAAAGCATGCAGATTTTAAAAAGCTGTATGATATATGGTAGCGGTAAAATCTAATGTGTCAGTTAAAGATAGTTTTCTCTTCTTTGTACTTCTATCTTCGATGGCAATTATTCTTATTTTTAAGTTCCTACATCTTAACAAAATTGTCTATTTTGCATTGCAAACATGCTGATCCATTGGTAGCTTGAAAAGGAATTCTAGTTAATTGCTTCAATTAATTATCAGCTTTAAAAGCGGTATATGGTTGGTTGTTTTAGGATAAAGAGTAATATAAAATTTGTATTTGGAAATTTTAAATATTGATTTTATATTTGGAAATTATGTTTATGATCACTTTAATGTTATGTAAAGGTTATGTATGTAAATGGGTATACTTATTAATAGTTTTAGAATAATCAACTGCTATATAACTTTTAATCTTTTCATTTACTACTAAAACTTGAGCACTTTAAGGCTTTAATATTTATGCTTGAACCAGATCTATTACTTATGCTTGAACCAGATGTTTCAGATTTAATAAATTGTCTTTTTGGGAATAGGTCACAATCTTATAATAAAAATTACTATAGACAAAATTTTCTTATTTAAACTCAAATTTTTTTTCTATTTTGAAACTAGCATAAAAATTGAGGTTTTGTTTATGTTTTTTTGAAAGGCAAATGAAACCAATGATTTTTAATTACTTTTAAACAAAAATTAATCTATTTTTAGAGTTGCCATTGTTCTGGTTTTTTCTTTGGAGAATCCAATGAAAATTTTAACTTAGTTTAGTGCTGTGTTCTCCAATGTAAAAACCGGGAAATGTTCACTATCTACAATATTTATTTTTGCAAGATTTTTTCTACATTTTGCTCATAGGAATTATTCATTTCTAAGAAACTTACAAAAAAAAAAAAAAAAAAAAATTAAAGGTTTTAAAGATAAAGATAAAGATCACAAAAATAAAGATAAAGGATTTAAAATAAAAAGTAAAGATTTTCAAATAAAAGATAAGGTGTTTTCTATTAAAAGATGAGAGGTTTTCAAATAAAAAATGAAAGGTTTTTAAACAAGTGTATTAATTATACTCGCTGCTAAAATAAAGTTTTTTATTGGAAGGCAAATCTCATATAATAACTGTTCTATTGGAATTAATTTAGGGCTGTACTGGATTTTGGTTCCGGCTCCGACTGAAATCCAGCCAATTTTACAAATCCAGCTCAAATCCGGCTCCAGCAAAAAGTTAGAGAATCCGGCAAAATTTTAGCCGGATTTCTGAACTTTGGTTAAATATTTATTATACCTTTTTTGCCCGTGTTTGCATGTATACTTAATATTTTGTTTATACAAATCAATCTTCTTTGTAATTCTATATTCTATGAACTCCATGTTTGTAGTGGTATTTGTATTGATGTTTTGTTTTTAATTAGCTAAGTCTAATTTCAAACAATAAGACACCTTATTCTGAAGTGAAGACACACAATAGAGACTGGAGTGAAGGCAAATGTGGTTAATATAGATTCAATAAAGTTACAGTGCAGAGCAAGAACCCAGAGTTTATTTTGGGATACCGTTTTTTTTTTAGCATTGTTGAGGGGGTGGGGGGTTATGTTTTTGATTTCCCTGTCCCCCTCATTCTCCTCTAGTTAAACGGGTAATTTAACTAGAGGAGAATGAGGGGGCAACAATAATTTTTAATCATCATTTTCTTAATAATCATTTATGTTTATCTTGTTCAGTTTTATCCTATAATAAGGTGTTGATTTAAAGGCATTTTTTGAATACATGAACTTACTGGTGGGCGATGTTACTTTACAACTGGTGGACGATGTTACTTTACAACTGGTGGACGATGTTACTTTACAACTGGTGGACGATGTTACTTTACAACTAGTGGACGATGTCACTTTACAACTGGTGGACGATGTTACTTTACAACTGATGGACAATGTTACTTTACAACTGATGGACGATGTTACTTTACAACTGGTGGATGATGTTACTTTACAACTGGTGGACGATGTTACTTTACAACTGGTGGACGATGTTACTTTACAACTGGTGGACTATGTTACTTTAGCTAAAAGAAAACTATTTTACTTAAGATTTAATAAACGCATTTTTTTTCATATACCACGCTATCAGTAAAAAATTATTGAAAATTGTTTAAAGTATTTTAAACAGTTATTAACCATATTTTAGTAAATTGAATTTAAAATAATAATTAAAAATATTTTAAACAATTTTTATTCAATATTTACATTACATAATATATTTACAAATATTATATCGCATAATATTTGTAAAATTAACAAAATAGTTTTATGCCTTGTATATGAATTAAAAACATAAGCATTTAATAAACAAACTATTTTCGTTTTCCTCACATAAACTAAATAGTAAGCTAAAGATCAAAAGTTCATTCACTTAAAAATTAAACTTGCACGATAGTTACAAGGACTGATGTTTTTTACTTTTGTTCATTTATTATCAACAGCAGTTTACTCTTAATTGGGGGTCGTCCATAAAGTGCCTACACTTTTTTTGTCCACCCCCTTCAACTCCCCTCTATCCCTGTATTTTGCAATACACTTTTTCACCATCAGAACATTTATTCAGTGTTGCTTTGGAGGTCCTCAATGATCATTGTAGTTCACTCCTACCACATAATGCAGCTTGCTTAATATTTCTAAAGTACAATTCAAAACTGATCAAAGACTTTTTAGAAAAATAACTGAATTTGAAGTTAGTTTACTTCACTTTCAAATTGAAAGTTTGAATCGTTTATCAATTATTTTGTTATGTTATGATATGTTATGTGAAATTGTGTCCTATTTTGTAACAACAATGAAGTTTAACAGAAAAAAATTGTCACTTGGTATCGAGAATGGTCAACATTGTTGACTACTAATAATATCAAAAGAAATGTACAGGATTTCAGCTCCTCTGATTTTATTTCGAAATCTGGCTCTGGCCCGATTTGTCAGTAGAAATTTGGCAAATCTGGCTCCAGCCAGATTTGGAAAAATTAAATTCGGTACAGCCCTAATTTAATTTGAGCGCAAGTTAGTTCATGCTCATTGTTAAATACAGGGCACTTTAAGTTACATGCCTCACGTTGATCCTGAAGAGAGTATACTTCATCAGCTAAGATAGCATTGCCAGAATCCCTTTTGATAGCAATTAATCAGCAGGCTCCACTTTTAATGTGTGTTGTTGTTGAATAATGTGCTATTTATCATGCTTATCTCACATTTTCATTTACTGTGCCTTGACTCACATGAGCATTTTGAAAGTCACTTTGATGTCAAACAGTTGATAAAGAATTAGAATAATCAAAATTATAGTAATAGTTTTTTTTTATTTTTGTATACAAATTTTACATAATCAATTATGTAAAATTTGAAATGGATATTTTTTATAAGATTTTGTAGCAATTGATATTATTATTACTTTTTTTTTTTTTTCAGGTTTTGCAGTCAACAAGTAAGTGTGTCCTTTTGTGTTTGAATAAAATTAAGAGTGATAAAATAATAAATAATAAACTATGCTTTACAAGAAAAATAGTTTCTTATTGCTCCAAAGTACTTCTATTATTGAAATATAAAAGAAAAAATATCCATAAAATTTTTTTTAATACTTTGAAATAGTACTTCGTTAAATTCAAATAAGTAATATGGTCTTAAGATTGAGTTCTTCATTAAAATTTAAATATGTAAAATGTAAAATGGTCTTCAAATGAAAATAGCCTTCAGAACTACAACAATGGTTCATGATTTTTCAAACATACTATTTTATGCATAGTTGTTATTTGCTCTTTTATTACTTGCAAATACTTATACTTTAGTTACTTTGTAAAATTTATTTTTAATGAATATTGCACAGGATATTGTATGAGCGAGGAATATATCCAGAAGAAAAGTTTACAGAAAGAAACATATTTGGATTTACAAGAAAATTTGTTGATATACCTGAAATTGTAGAATATTTAAACCATTTTTTCAGCCAACTAAGTGGTAAATTTAACAAGAAATATAATTTAATATATAGTAATATCTTTAAAAAAAAAAAAAAATTGAATTAATATCTTCTTTTAGTTTGGTTATTAAAGGAAGAGGTTGATAGAGTTGTCCTTGTTATCGGATCTATAAAACAGAATCAAGATTTAGAGAGATGGCAGTTTCAAATAAACACACGGACACAAAGGTATTTCTTTTATTTACAGAGTAATCTATATAAAAAGAAAATATTTGCGAGCAAGAAATACAAATAAAGTATGAAAAAACTAATAATAATGAACACACAAGAAATGGCCCAAAATCTACCCAAAAATAGAAAAATCAAAAATTGTAATAATAATGCCTGTCAATTAAGGAGTCATTGTTTTTTAAAACAAAATGATTTTTGGAGTTAATTTTTGGGGATGTCCCACTTCCTCTGCATCCTACTTCTCCCCAATCTCCCCTATATAATTGACTCATATAGTATAATAGAATTGCTAAAGAGTTGCGTGATATCTTATGATATTATTTTTATTATTTAATATTTCAAATAATATTGCAATTTTAATTTAATTAAAAACTATAATAGTATCGCAATTTTAATTTAATTATGTGGTATCACTTCTGTAATTTAATTTCTTATCTAGTAATTATTATTTTAATTTAATTTCTTATGTGGTTTCATTTCCATTATTTTAATTTCTCATGTGGAATCGTTACTTTAATTATATCTTGCAAGGTATCATATTTCTTGCCTGTTATTGTCTTTTGTTCTGTATTCAACATTCAGCAATTTAAGTAAATTAATCATCATTCATTGTGTCTCTTGTAACATCATTAATCATATGATTTTTTTATTAATAGTATTGTGTGTTGTCAAAGTGATACTGATGGTATTGACATTAGTATATACCACATGAAATGAGACCATCCTTCTTGGTATTGACTTGCACAAAACTGATTATATTGTGTCTAATTGTTAGTGTATAAAAGAGCTGATAACCTATGTATATATATGTTAGTGTATAAAAGAGCTGATAACCTATGTATGTATATACAGTGCTCAAAGTAGAGAAAAAAAAGTAATGGATGGTATTCAGTAAATTGAAAATACTATCCCGCTTAATCATTGTTATATTTAGAGATTTATAAAAAGGTGGCAGAATGGTTTATAGTTTATAAAAAGGTGACGGATGGCATCCTGTCACATCCTGCCTCACTTCGAACACTATATATATATATATATATATATATATATATATATATATATATATATATATATATATATATATATATATATATATATATATATATATATATATATATATATATATATATATATATATATATATATATATATATATATAGTGTTCTGGCTGCGTATAAACAAAATTTTTTGTTTATTATACCTGATGACGCTGATCACAATAGATCAGCAAAATATCGAAATAATTATATATTAAAGAAAAAATATATATTTAAAAAAAGTTTATACCCAGCTGTATTTATTGAATTCTAACCATATATATATATATATATATATATATATATATATATATATATATATATATATATATATATATATATATATATATATATATATATATATATATATATATATATATATATATATATATATATGTATATATATATGTATATATATATATATATATATATATATATATATATATATATATATATATATATATATATATGTATATATGTATATATATATATATATATATATATATATATATATATATATATATATATATATGTATATATATATATATATACAGTTGTGAGCATGAAAATAGCAGTACCTGGAATATTTTGAAAACTATTGCGCAATTTTTTTTTACTTATTACTGAAAAAAATTTATTGCATTTATTTTGACACTTCAATCTAATAAAACAAAAAAAAATTACATCAATAATAGTTTTACATTTTATTTCAGAAAAAAAAAAAATAATATCAAGAAAGCTCACAGTCATTGAAATAGCAGTGGTATCTGAAAATAGAGAAAAAATTATTTTTTATGGTATTAAACATTAAAATTGCAAACTTTTGAACATTATAAAGTTAAAAATAAGTCTAATATAACAATATTTACCCTTAGTATTTCGTTGCAAAACCTTTGTTTGAGATAACGGCTTCACAACGCCGATGCATTGAGTCAACTAGGCATTGACATTTTTCTGCTGTTATTGCGTACCATACTTGTTGAGTAGCTTCCCATAACTGCTGAGCATTAGTTGGATTAGCAGTAGAAACTGCTTTTTTAACGTCTCCCCATAAGTTTTCAATGGGGTTTAGGTCAGGTGACTGAGCAGGCCACTCCATAACCTCAACCCCATTGACCTGAAACCACTCTTTTGCCTTGTGACTAGTGTGTTTTGGGTCGTTGTCTTGTTGAAAGACCCATTTTAACGGCATATCTTCATTAGCATAAGGCAGCATGACATTATTGAGGATATCGACATATATATGTTGGTCCATAATACCATTAATCTTATAAATAGGTCCGACACCATTATATGAGAAACAGCTCCATACCATGACTTTGGCTCCACCATGTTTTACAGACTTAATGGTATATTTTTGCTGGAATTCTGTATTAGATGGACGTCTTACATATTGTCTTGAACCTGTACCTCCATAAAGAACTATTTTTGATTCATCAGTCCATAATACGTTGCGCCACTTTTCGATGGGCCAATTCAGATGTTGGTTTGCGAACTGCAAACGTTTAGCGGTATGTTTTTTTGTCAACAAAGGGACCTTTCGTGGACTGTGTGCATACAAACTTTTCTCTCGTAAGCGTCTATGAACTGTTGTTTCACTCACCTGTAGGTCAAGATCATCTTTGACTTGCTTGGCCGATGAAAATGGTTTGCTTTTAACAAATCTAACAATTCTTCGGTCTTCTTGCGCGGTAGTCTTATGTTTCCCCCCTCGTTTTTCAACTTTTGCTATATAATTTATGGCATTTGAAATCATCTTTGCTGAACATCCGAGAATATTTTGTATATATGAGTAAGATTTACCCTCTCTATAGTGTTTCAAAATAATGTTGCGTTCTGCTGGTGTACAATGATGTCCTCGGCCCACTTTGAAAGGTTTAGAAAACAATTTTACCATTACGCATACTCAAATAAATAAAGAATATGTTATAATTGAAGTAGTACTTACTTTTTCAACGAAAAATACTAAAATCTCTTCAAGTTTTGTTAACTAACTTTAAAATTAATACAACCACTGCTATTTTAATGCATTTTGTCAATTACAATATTTTAATTAAAAATAAAGATATTCTACAATGAATTCTCATTTGCTCAATTTATTTATCTCATTCTAGTACATACACACATAAAAAATTAGCCCTTCTGTATTAACAGAAGGAGAGTAATATTGAAAAAACGAATAATTTTTTGGTACTGCTATTTTCATGCTCACAGCTGTATATATATATATATATATATTATTTTATATATATTTATATTTGTATTTAATAAATAGTAAATGGTATAAAATTGAAATATATAAAGAATTTTAAATTTTTTTTTAGCTCCGGCTATCAACCCCTGCTAAATCTTATAATTTTGCCGGAGCCGGGTTTGCAAAAATTCTCATTTTTAGCCGGGGTCGTAATCACTTCATACTTATAGCCTGCAAAGGAGTGCCTCTTTATCGACTGAAAGTTTTAAATGGGCTACAATCTTTTCTTTCATTATTTTTCATTTTTTTCTTCTTTTTCTAAAAAAACTTATGCTGTAAGGATAAGGAAAACTAGTAGCCATATGCTTATCTAAACACGCTATAGTAGATTATACCTATAGTAAGTCCACAGGACACCCAATACTCCATAATACTCTTTTGAAAAATTCTAATATAGGCTAAGGGTTTTTAAAGATTTACCAACAGCTTTTGATAGAATTGATCACAAAGTTATATTTGAAAAAAATAGTACTATTCAATTAAAGGAAATATCATGATATTACTTATAAGTTATTTAGACAACCATAAATAGTTTGTTTACAGTAATACAATTGCCTCTTTTAATTTATTAAATATAATTTGTAGGGCACCTAAAGAGTCTGTACTTTTCTTTCAACTTTATCCCCTTCTCTTTCAATTTTACGTTAATGATCTCCTTAAAGACTTAAATTTAATGACTGTCATGTTTGCCAATGATACTAATTCTTTTTTATCTCATAACATCATTAATTCAAAATACTTAAAATGTTCAGCACTTTTTCACAGATTTCCAATCTTAGACAGAAAATTAATTTCCCACTTAAAGGAAATTTGATTAAAGTGGCATCAACGGCTGGTTTCAGGTGTAAAGTTTGCTCATGCATATAATAGGTAGAGTTCCATCTTGTGGCAACATCAATTTTTAAGCCAAGTCTGACTTTTGTATCCATTTGGATTTCTTACTGTCTGTAAAGTTCAGTGTTGAAAGCAGTAGAATGGGATGCGTAAGAATAGAGTTTTTGACTCTTTGCAATCAGTCCATCTATGATTGGATGTGAAAATAATTCTTTTTTGATGACAAGTTGAAGGGAGTGGTTAAGGCATCCAGCTGGCATATAATTACAGCTTGTAATTACAGGTTCATTAAAGGCTACCTTTACATTTGCTGCATTGTATCTTAAACAAACTACAATTTTTGAAGAAATTTTCCACTCCTCCGCTGTTGTTTCAATCTTGTTGAAAATGTTTTTTGTGGTATGAGGTGCAGAGTTTGACACGTTCCAATCTTTGGAAATAAGGTGAACCGTCATCCCCAAGTAGCCATGATGACCATGCATTAAGACAGACTGACACACTTTCAGCTTCTAATTGAACCAACTTTTCCTTGAGAGCAAGTTTTATTTTTTCATAAGTTGGATCCAGTAAACTTAGGAGTATGGTGCCTCAAAAACCCAGCATCATTGACAATAGACTATGGTTAGAGGTCAAGAATCATCATTTCAAATATTGACTTGTGAAATTTTTGGTCTTTTTTAGAATTAGAGTCAATTTTTAAAAAAAAGCTTGAACCCAGTTTGAAATTGTAGATTTTAACATATTAATTTTTTGTTTTTTTGATTGTATATTGAAGATTGGAGCTCTCTTCAATATATAAACTTCTCTTGTTTAATTTCAATTCAGCTTCTTCTTTGGCTTTTGGATTTCCTGAACTTTCTGGCATATGTTTGATGTCAGGATGATAATTCTTCAGGTGTGATGTTAGTCCATATAATCCTTGTCTTTTAGGGTCGTCTGATCCTCTTGAACTTTGCTGTTGCATATTTTGCATTGAACTGTTCTTGGATTGTTTGCTTTAATTATGAAGTGTTTCCATTCTAAACTTGTTTTTCTTTTTGAATTTATTTTGTTAGAATGAAGACGGTTTTTCAATGTTGCTGGTTTGTGTCAAATACAAATGTTAAAAATATAATTGACAGGTTTTTTGTATTTCCAATATTTATTGTAATGATTGCTACACAAAAATTCCATTTGAACATTAATTAACAATATGCTCTCTTTGGACAAATATTAACGATTTCAACACTACAATTCCCTTAGGGAAATTAAGTGTTGAAATTGTTGTCCAATTGAAGTAGTTGTCCGATTGGACATTGTTTTCCAAATGAAATTCTCTTGTGAATGCATATTAAAAGCTGTTGTGCTAAACTTAAAAAAGAGTTTTGATTGGAGAGAAAAAACAATTAATTTAACATTTTATAGATTATATAAAATTAGGATAAAAGTTAGATTTTTTTAATTAATTGTAATATTTAATATATATCTATATATATATAAAAGTTATACTCATAACAGCAATATTATCTTTCAAATAATAACAATAAAAAACTTTACAAGATATGAATATTAATTTAAACAAGAAAATTATTTCGTTTTCAAACAAAGCAAAATTTTTATTTCCACTAATTCTCAAGCTTATCATTTTATTTAAAAAACTTTTTTTTTAATTATTTTATCAAAATGTCAAATAAAGCTTCAAGATTTTCTATTTTCAGTAGCATTTTGAACCAAAATTCTGGCCAGAACAGAAACCGAAAAGATTTACTACTTGTAATATATTGTGTTGTATTTTATAATTTTTAACTTGAAAATTTTTTCAAGTTAAAAATTATAAAATACAACACAATATATTACAAGTAGTAAATCTTTTCGGTTTCTGTTCTGGCCAGAATTTTGGTTTTTTCTTTCTTATTAAAATCTTAACTTGTTAGATAAACTTAACATAACAATGTAAACGCGGCTTGGCAGTAAGACAATATACGTCTTCTTCTTGCTTCGGCCATTTATTATATATGTACAATCTTTCTGATTGTAAGTTTTATTAAACGGCAAAGAAAAAATAAATAAAAAAAATTAAAACTTTTTTTTTTAATTGAAACTGGTCAGAGCTGTGACCAGAACCAAAACCATACAGAATTTCGGTCGGTCACTAGTTAAATTGCTTTTCATTAATGTCTTGGGCACTCTCTCTGAAAATTTAGTTTTGGTTTACCATGGGGTTTTTAGGCTGTTCATTATATAAAGTAAAGTTGTTGCTAATAATGTTGTCTTTTGAAAATTATTAATTAGGGGTTACTAAATACAGTTAGTAAATCCTAAATACTTTATTTATGTTATGACATTAGAACTACATAGTGGTACAATATTAAGTATTATATCTGTATTATCTTTGTGCATTAGATATAAGTTGATATTTAACAGCCTGTCTATTAAAAGTTTTGAAAACATGTTGTAAAGAATGCATTAGTTGTTTATCTTTTTATTTATTGTCATTTTCTTACCACTAATAAATTTGTTTTTGATTTATTCTAATCATTTTTATTTATTAATCTTAAAAAAAGTTAAACTTTTTAATAAAATCATAATTGCAAATGTTGTTAGCTCTTGTTGCTATAGGGACAATGGAGTTTTTTTCTTTGAAATAAAATGTTTCATGAATTGAGCTAATAATGATATAAGAAAGTGTTAAATTATAAATAAGAGAACAAAGTTTTTTAAGTTTTTAATGTTAATGGTTGTAGTGTTTTTGATTTAAGTGTAGCTATGAGTACAGATAACGTTAATAGTGAAGTTCATGGTATTGATGCCCAGATAAATTCATGTATCACCACAATGATACCTTTAGAGGAATTGTGTAAGTATTTATTGGTATTTTTTTTTTAATTCGTAATATATAAGGAAATTTTTTCAGTTTTTTTTTTTTTGTTTGTTTTTGTTTTTTTATTTTGCTTTGATAACATATTAGAAAATTGTTGTCAATTTTTTTAGTTTTATTTAGTTGTTATATTTGCTGTTACTCGTCTAATACATTGATAATATATCAACCAAATATTGCTATGCAGTTAATATATTCAACCAAATATTGCTATGCAGTTAATATATTCAACCAAATAATATATGCAGTTCAATGTGTTGTTGTTATTGTAAATGTTGTAGTATTTTTTGTTTGTTAATCTATTATTGTTAATTTATTTCTTTAGGTTCTTTTAACTTAATTGTATATGCGAACACCCAATGTGATACACCTCAAAATTGGCATGAATGTAATGAACATTATATTTCCAATGCAGAAGAATGTATTTTAAAATCAGTATCAACACCTTGTCATGAAGTTAACTTGGCATTTTGTTATAAACAACTGTAGCATATACATTTATGTTTATGTGTGTGTCTGTATATATATATATATATATATATATATGTGTGTGTTTATATATATATATATATATATATATATATATATATATATATATATATATATATATATATATATATATATATATATATATATATTCACAATATATATATATATATTCACAATATATATATATATTTACAATATATATATATATATTGTGAAGTTCCCTGGTTTGTGAAATAGGTTTTTGTAAAATGCAAATCAAGTAAAAATATTTCATTTTACAGTATATAAAATAAACTTTTACTAGTATATGAACCAAATTTTACTATTTATAGCATTTTAAATATAGATCTTAATAACTTTAATTTCTTCGATCATAAATATTCAATTTATATAAAAAATCAAAGTATTTCTTTATTTTATGTTTTTAACATTTCCATTTCATGAACTGGCCAGTTTTATGATTTTTGTATATATTTTGTTTTTATTTATTTACTTATTGATTTGTTTGTTGTTTGTTTTTTGTTTTTTTCATAAGTTAAAGTTTACTAAGAAAGTATATGCACACACACTTTCTTGGTAAACTTTTGTTTTTGCCATAATCTTTCAATTTTAAAAAGGTTTAAAATGATACCGGAAAAAATTTAAAAATTAAAAAAAATTTAGTTAAAAGACTGCCAGGTCAAACTAAAACCTTTAGTTTATATTTGTATACTGTGCCTATCTCTAGAGAGTCAGTTATTGTTTGCACTCTCTGCTGCACCAATCTCAAAATAAATCAGCCAATAAAATAATAAAATAAAAAAAATAAAATTGAATAATAAAAGCAATAAAATAATAAGAACAAAAACATTTTTTTTTTCCTCTTTAGTTTTAGTTTTTGCTCTTTCTGTTTGTTTTTCTTTGTATTACCTCTTTGACAGAATTTTTCCAATAAGTATGTTACATTTTTTGTGTAGACTTTTAATGTTTAGTCTAGTCAAAGCAATTTCCTGTACTATATTTAATAAAGTCCATCAATTAAGTGTATCATTTATGAGAAATATTAAAATGCACTTAACAGGTGTGTGTGTGTTGTGTCTGTGTTACACATGTTAAATGAAAGAAAGATAAAGAAAAAAAGTGCTGAGAGAGAGAAATAGTCTAAGCTTTTTTAAATATATGTGATAATTATATATTTTATAATTTATAGTTTAAAAAAATAAAATATATAAGTCTGGGGTTTAAATGATTGACATTGTTAAAGAGTTATTAAAAAGTAAGTTTTTTTTTGTGTGTGATAAGGTCAATAAATATATATTTAATTAATGAAAATATAAAAAACAATAAAATAGTAAAAAAATTTTATTCCTTTACCAATTTATATTTAAATAAGTTAATTAATCTGCTTATGTTTTAAAAATAGATGACTGAACTTACACCATATGAATTAATGATCAAATCACTGACTAATCGAGACAAGAGCAAGCGTAAAGTAAAACTTGTTGAAGAAAAGTTGCTTGAGGCAAGGCTTTTTAGCTGCTTTTTTTTAATCTGTTATGTTTTAATTGTCTTTTAATCAATTAGTTTATTTTTTAATTGTTTTTGATTTATTAACTTAGTTTGCTTTTGCTGGTGGTGATAGTGAGGAAGACGAAGATTTTGTTGTTGGTGAAAATGATGTTATTAGTGATGATTTTGATTCAGACAATGATAGCAATACCAATAGTATGTTATATTTTGATCAATATTATTTTTCTTTTAATATTTTGATCTGCAGTAATATTATTTTTTTTGTAATTTTGTTATTAAAATGTAGGGTGGATTAAAAGACTTAATTTTGTAAATTTAGGAAGATACTGTTCTAATATATTTTGTACACAAAGTTTTAAAATGCAGACGATTTCAAATAGCATTTTTTGTCGTAATAAAAATTCTTTATATCTTGATAATACCTTCCTAAGCATTTATGAGTGTTAGTATGTATGTATGTATGTATTTATGTATGTATGTATATGTATTAGGGGTATGCATTTACAGGATGTTTTTAAAATTGAACTACATACTTAGCTAAAGTTGAAGCAAATTTCAGTCTGATGACTTTTATGTTCCCTCAATAGCAAAGTTGTTAAAAAAATTGTTCTTCTAACCAGGGTTGTGGAATCGTAAAAAAAAAGTACCGACTCCGGTCGTTGAAATTTTCAGAGTACGACTCTAACTCCGACTCCAAAGCAAAATTTTTAAAAAATTCTTTGAATTCTTAAAAAAATATTACGCGATAAGTTAGAAAATTTTTTTTGTCAATTTTATGAAAAGTTTTTTGAGATTTAGTATGAATATAAGGTTAAGTGAATATTTTGTACATGCACATGCAATACCGAGAAGTTTTACTATTGGAGTCGGAGTCGCAGGAGTTTGAATGGCTTCCTGTGCTAAAAATCATTTTAAACTTCCTTTATTTTCTAAACTTAAATTTATATTATTAATATATATATATATATATATATATATATATATATATATATATATATATATATATATATATATATATATATATATATATATATATATATATACATATATATAGTTTTTATATTTTTATTAATATGTGTTATATTGAATATATCGTTTTTTAAGGTTGTGTTTTTGGCATCAGTATGAATTTACTGATGCTAAAGATTTATTTTATAATCATTCTATTCCAGACTTTTTGGACCAATGTAATTTTTACTGTTTTATCGACGCATTACGTTGAAGGTTGTTTGCTTTTTTTTTTTAGGAAAATCTGATAGTGAAGATTCAATTTCAGATGAATTGGAGTCGTCTTCAGAAAATGCATGTATGAATTCGCCCTCAATAGGAAACGGTATTAATACAGTTCCAGATGTTTTAACATTAACTGAGCATGTAAATAACGACATGGATAAAAGTTGTACAGAGAGCGTCTTGACAAAAAAACCTTTTCTTGTTTGTGGTATATGCTTAGGTAAAAATATTTTTTAGTATTTTTTACTTCCTAATTTTCATTTTGATTTTAATTGTATTTTGCTTTTTTATTAGAATCTAAAGAAAATGATAATGACGAAATTCTTGAATGCGATAATTGCGGGATTTCCGTACATGAAGGTTGTTATGGAGATATTGGCGCGGACGATAATGATACAATTGATTCGGATGTTGAGGTAGAGCCTTGGTTTTGTGAACCATGCAAGGCTGGCGTTAAAACTTCGCCGTTTTGCGAACTTTGTCCTAATATTGGAGGAATTTACAAACAAACTGACTCCGGAAAATGGGTGCATCTAGTATGCGCACTTTATACCCCGGATGTAGGATTTAGAAACGTATCCAAACTTCAAACAGTTGTATTGGAAGATATAAAAAGCTCGTCATGGGCGGCACGAGAATGCACGTTATGTTTAGATGATAATTTTAGCAAAACAGGTGTTTGTATTGATTGTGACGCTGGGTTGTGTAAGACTTCTTTTCATGTTTCATGCGCTCAGAGAAATGGGTTTCTTTCGGATATACCGGATAGTGACGTAAACTATACAGATGATTCTGACTTACTATTTGCGCACTGTAAACTTCACTCTGTTAAAGCAGATGTTAAAGCTCGAAAAACGAGTTGGCTAGCTTTTCAGTCGCATATGAAAAATTTTAAACGTAAGCAAATTGATGACGAGAAATTTAATAGTTGCTTTGAAAAAGCGAAACGTGATTATCAAGAATACAGACGATCTGTTGTGTATTCCACTATTTTGCCAAAGCTTCCTCGTTTTTTATCAAGCTGTCCTGAGGCTTGCATCTTACTAGCTAAAAAAGCAGAAATTCAGGGTATTGTTCGCCATCCCGGTTATAACGTAAATGCGGCAATAACTTCAGGAAGGATTTCAAAACAAGATCCAAATCTCTCGTCAGATTTTGTCAACCATTTTTTTAAAAGAGAAATGCTAATTAAGGAATTACAACAAAAGTTAAAGACGGGTAATCCACTTAGTAATAATTTAAAAAATGAACAACAAAGATTGTTAGGTGACACTATTCGATTGCAAAAAGAACTTGAAACGGTTATGGCAAAGAAAGAAGAAATGAACGTTGTTTTGAAAAACATACATAAGCTACTCTGTCAACTTTGCTCTAAAAATTTAAAAATGCCGGATCTTTTTCAAATTAAGGATAACTCAGACATTGCTAGCCACGAAAACTCAAAGATTTTGCTGAACAATATAATAAAGAAATGCGCTACTTGCTCTTCGGCAGATGATCAACATACTTTAGTTTATTGTTCGAAATGCAAGAATTACTACCACATGAATTGCCTTGATCCACCACTCCTGCGTATGCCTAACGGATCCGGAAAAAAACAGGGAAAGTATATATGGCAATGCACAGAGTGTGATTCTAGTGAGTCTGATTGTGAATCTGAAGCGGTACTTGAAACTACAGATCAAAATGGAAAAAGAAGAACAAAAAGAAAAGTTAAGGAGCCGGAAAAGTTTACTCCCGAAAACGTAAAAGAAGCCGTAGATATTTTTACACAACGCAAATCCGCATGTAATAGCGCGGTCACACCGTCTGAAAAGAAAAAAAATAAGAGTACTGTTATTAAAGACAAAAACACTAAAAATTCTAATACACCGTGCTCGAATAAAAAAAAGAAATCAGATAATCTTCAAGAACACTGGCCAAACTGCTTTAAATGTAAAAAAAATGGTGATGCATCATCTCTTGTCAAATGTGATAACTGCAAAAGGTGTTACCATTTTAAACTATGCCTTGATCCTCCTTACGCTAAATCTCCCAAAGGTAAATTTTGGGATTGGGTATGCGAGGAGTGCGATGAAATTGAAAATGGTGATGCAAATATTACTTCATAGTATTGGATATCGTTCTATTGAAGTTTGTAGTGTATTAATACAACTATTTCTCATTCTGTAATTTATTTCCCATTATATTTGCTTCAAAGCTTTTTTTCTTATTTTTGATTGGAAACTTTAAACAAGCTTTTGTTAAATACCAAATTCATTTTAATGACACACGTTCTAGCACTGAACGTTGGGTGCATCAAAAAACAACAAGTTTTAAAAATTACCTCGCATCTAAATGAATTTCATATGGGGCCGTCCATATATTACGTACGCACCGAGGGAGATGGGGGTGTCCCAAGTTGAGTAATTTGCGTACGAGTGTGTATGGAAGGGGGAGATGGAGGGTTCAACAAATGCATATTTAAACAAAATAATTCAAAATTTACCGCCTGGTAAATTTTGAATTATTTTGTACTTGTTTTTATATTTCTTTGAAAGAAAAAAAAATTTTTAAGGAAAAATCACTCTCTCCGATTTAAATTTATCAGTAAATCGCGAGGTTAGAATTATTTTGTTCTATCTCCACATTTTTTTGTTTCGAGATAAAACGATTTAAAAAATAAAAACTTTAAAAGACGTCATATAAAAAGATTTTTATTACTTATGTTTTCTCCGAAACTTTTTTGATTTTAACTTTGGTTTTAATATAGTAGAAAAACATTATTTTGAGGTACATTACACAATTAATAACTCATTTTTTTCAAAAAGTGGAGATAGAACAAAATAATTCTAACCTCGCGAAATGTTGAATCAAATTTTAGCGGAAAATTTATATCACTAGAAGATTTTATTTCGAAAAATCGAATTTTTTCGAAATAAATCCTTTTTAATGCAGAAGCTTATTAAACAATATATATTTTTTAATTAAAAAAGCTGTTTATATCAACAAAGAAATATTTAAAAAAGCAAAACAGTTTAAAAACAAAAATTGGATAATTGATATATACAACCGACTGTATGCTTCCGTGTGCAAATCTATGCCTCAGAGTTCGAAATCAGTAGAAAGAACCAAATTCGTTTGTGGGATGCAATTAAAAGTGGACAAGTTAACAAAAGACTCTCCTGTTGCAACGACTTTCTTCCAATGCTATCCATTACTGAATCTTGTGTTTTATCACCACTTTTTATTGCATCCCACAAACTAATGTCATTTTTGGTTCGTTCCAGTATCCCTATACCTTCAATGTCGAGACAGGGAAACTAAACTAAAAATTAACTGAACTTATTGACAGTTTTAGTTGCTTAGTAACATAGGGAACAACTTAAGTTCTGTTTTGTAATACTTGTAATTAACACATGAGATGATTATAAATTAATGAGATTATAGTTATAAATTCTTAAAGTTTAAGGGTTTATTTCTCAGAACTATTTTAGGTATTAAATTTTGTCTATACACATTATAATAGTAACTATATTAAGGGGGGGGGGGGGGGTAAGACCACCAATTATATGTACCCATAGGAGGAGGGGGGGGGGTATAAAAAGTTCTAAAATTTTTAAAGAATATATGAAACTCATTTACATAAAACCTAGTATTAAAAATGTTTTCTAGAAGTAAGTCAATCTTGTACTCAAAAGAGCGAAGCTATATAAAAATTATATATTTATATATAAATGTATGTATATATGTATATATATATATATATATATATATATATATATATATATATATATATATATATATATATATATATATATATATATATATATATATATACATATATATATATATATATATATATATATATATATATATATATATATATATATATATATATATATATATATTGATGAAACATAGGGTTAAATGAGAGTCCAGGGGAAAAAACGGCATAGTCACATTTTTGGTTTTTCTTAGTTATTACTCCTGCCCTATGCATATACTTCTATAGTTTGTACTGAACTACATTTCAAGCGAAAAAAGTGGAAATGTCCATATGATAATTAAAAAAGAAAAAACCCTAAACAATGGAAAAAGCGGCATGGTCCAATGTTTACAGGGGGAAAAACGGCAGTGTCACTAATATCATGTGATATTTTTAGTCACATGATCACACCGTCCAATGAGGGGTCGATCTTGTGTAAACAGCATTTTAAATATGGCGGATTGCGAAGAGCACTGTGAATTAACAAATGGTAAACGAAAGATACTATGGCTCAAAATGAGGCTTTGATTTTTTTTAAAAACGAAGACCAGATATATTACTGATTTGGGGAAAAATGTAGGAGAGAGCTGCTACATCGATTGATCTATACCTGTCTTAACCCAACCCTCACTCGATGTAGTAGCATTCCCTTGCATGTTATCTCTACATTAGTCAATATAAAAGCACTCTCCTACATTTCTCATCAAATCAGTAATATATCTGGTCTTCGTTTTTCGAACAATCAAAACATCATTTTGAGTCATAGTATCTTTTACTCACCTTAACAAATAGGCCCAAGAAAAGAAAAATTACAGGGAGAATAAACGAAATACTGAAAAAACAAAAACTCTCGTCTCATACAACAGGACCTGACTGCAAATGTACACGATATAATTGTTTTGAAGTTGTAAAAGTAGATGAAAGAGCTCGTTTATTGGACTCTTTCAATGCATTATCGAGCAATGAATACTAAAACTCTTTTGTGGCTGGCCTCATTACAGTCTTTAATGTCACAAGAAGGAGATCACGGAAAGATGAAATTATCGTAAAACACTTGAATGATAACAGCTACTAGTATAAAGTATTTAAGAATATTGGTGATAAATATATATATATATATATATATATATATATATATATATATATATATATATATATATATATATATATATATATATATATATATATATATGTATATATATATATATATATATATATATATATATATATATATATATATATATATATATATATATATATATATATATATATATATATATATATATATATATATATATATATATATATATATATATATATATATATATATATATATATATATATATAGGATTAACTCTTACTTCTGATCTTTCTTTTAAACCGTATATCAAATCCATTGCAAAATTAGCATCTGCTAAGGTTGCATCTCTTTATCGAGCTCGATACTTTCTTACTCCAGATTCTATTCTCTATCTCTATAAATCTCAAATCCGTCCCTGTATGGAATACTGTTGCCACATCTGGGGCGGATCTTCTAATGATGCTCTTTCTCTTTTAGACAAGGTGCAAAAACGAATTGTAAACATAGTTGGACCTGCTCTGGCAGCCAATCTCCAACCTTTGTCACATCGTCGTAATGTTGCTTCTCTTTCTCTTTTCTACAAATACTATAATGGGCACTGCTCTAAAGAGCTAGCGTCCCTTGTGCCATCTACTAAAATTCATTCTCGTGTTACTCGCCATTCAATTAAGTCTCATCCTTTTTCTGTGACTGTTCCTAAGTGCTTCAAAAACTCTTATTCTTCTAGTTTTTTTCCTCGAACATCAGTTCTTTGGAATTCGCTTCCTTCATCTTGCTTTCCTGATTCATATAATTTGCAATCTTTTAAGTCATCAGTCAATCGTTATCTTGCTCTACAGATTTAGTCTTTTCTCTTCCAGTAACTTCCAACTTTTATAGTGGTTGCTTGCAGCCTTGTTGGAAGTGAAGATGTTAAAAAAAATATATATATATATATATATATATATATATATATATGCTTGCATTTTTGCTTAATATAATTAAATGTATAAATAATATAATTAAAATAATATAAAAAAATGAGTTTTATAATTTTTTTAAATGTAGCTATGCCGTTTTTTCCCGTGTACTTTTCAATTGTTTCCCTATTGGCAACCGCATTTCCAATTTTTTAATTGATGTTTAAAATTTTTTATTGAGAATGTTGACATAAACATCGGAGTCCATAATTCCATCAATAAACTCCAGCTATCCTATTCCGTTTCTAGCCATCGATCAATTCAAAACGCATATATTACAAACGCTATTACAAGCAGATATTACAAACACTACTACAAGCAAGTATAATAGAAATTACAAACGCTAAAACAGTATGATAAGACATTAAAAGAAAGAATACCATAAATATTTTAGTTTATTACGAAATAAAAGTTAAATGATTAAAGCAAAAAATAGATGAGTAGTGATGACTTTTTCAGTTTAGTTATTTTAGTTTTTGATCTTGTTTTAAAAGAGATATTCAAATTTTTTTTTTTATTTCATTTATTTTGCAGTTAAAAAAAAAAGTCTAAATACATATATACAAGAAAGAAAAAATGTCTAACAAAGAAGACAGTAAAATCTTGTAATCAGGCACCGTTGTTGTATATACAATAAAAATAATTAACTTTTTTATTTACAATGATCTTTGTAAAATAAAGAATGAAACAAACAATCAAAGAAGATGAAAATGTATATTTTCTGTATGATATATTGTTGCATATACAATAAAAATAACAAACTTTTCTATTTACAATGATCTTTGTATATTAGTTTTAATTTTATATATTAATTATTACAGGCTCAAAGAAGATGAAAATAACATTACTTCATTGCAATCTTTTCATAGAGCCCCTATATATTTTTTTAATAGAATATAGATATTATATTATTAATGAGCATAAAACAGCTGCAATGATCAGTAAATCAAATAAAGATTAAAAAAACTGAAAAATTGAATCAAATAATTTCAGAGTTAATCTCAAACTTTAAAAATTTCTTTTTTGATTTGAAACTTAAATGAAATTATTGCCTTTGCCATAGGTTTAAAGCCTTTTAAAATATTCCATATATTTGGACCTTGATAGGCAATGCTATATTCAGTATATTTATTAAATTTTCGAGGCAGCTTATAAGTGTTACTTCTATTTGCTCTTAGATAATAACTTTCACTTCTATTTATTTCAAACTTGTTATTAGGTTTTTCAGAAGAGATTATTGTTGAATCGATACATAAAAATTAAATACTAATACATATTTATTTCATCATTTTCATATCATTCATTGAAGGTTTAGCGTGTTCACGCTTAATTTTAGAGTAAATGATTTTTCACGCATGTTTTTGTAAGCTATAAGTTTTTTAACTTTGATGGTTGTGCGTACTTGCCCATGATATA